GTTACCTTGTTAAGTGAATAAATAAGTAAAGGACACCTTTGCCATCGGGCTACCCCCACCCTGTCTAACCTGGGACCTGCGCACCCTCCCTGCCACTCACAGCCCACCGCACCCTCTCCTGCTCCTCCCTTAGATCATCCTCTCGTGGCCAGGCTCGCTGTCCTGCCTCTTCCTGTTAGCATGCTAGCTTGGAGGGAGGAGGGAGGGAGGAGGGAGGGAGGAGGGAGGGAGCTCATCTTTGCTCACTGACACGTCTCGGTACCTGGGCTGTAAGTACTTGCTGAAGTAAGTCCCTGTTGGAGACGACAGAATACATAATTGGCAGTCCCTTATGGCATTGGCATTGCCCAAGTGATGGTGTGTGATATGACTTCAAACATTCCTAAGTGCAGGTGTGAGTACACAATTACAGCCTGATTCTATCTATAAGTCCGCGGAACAGAAACCCCCACCACCATTCCCCCCGGAGCTGATGCCTGGGGAAGCTCCACATTCATACAATGGTCTGGGGGGAGGCCGCCTCTGACTGCCGGCCTGCTGGCCCTGGGCCGCTGGCCGGCCGCCTGCCCTGGGCTGGCCTCTCCAAGTGACAGCACACCACCTTCTGCGATTTAATTTGCTTTGAGCAAATCACCAAAAGCCGTTTGGAGGAAAGACTCAAAATTAGGGTAAAAAAAGTGGAAGAAAGAAATTTAATAAAAAAAGAAGTGTACCCAGTGCAACAGCATCTGGGGAAATGAAGACATTTACATGTCACTGTGTATCGCAGTGAGCTAGAAGGGAAGATGAGCAAATACACATTTCCTATCCTTTTTCTTTAAGAAAGGAGAAATGTTGACAAGATTATGTTTGAAGTAAACAGAGCTTTTTGGAACTTTTTAAAGCATATAAGACAACAGAGGGTGGAACTTAAAATCTCGTTCCCATGTTCCAGTGTGTGATATACTCCAACACACCAACGACACGCTCCATGCAGGCTAAGGGGCGTGACTTCTGTGTGGACAAGTTCCCTGAGCTGCACACGTTAGATTTCATCATGATGACTCCTGTTTCACCTGCATTCTGCAGAAATACTCTTCAAGAAAGCCAATGATGATGATCTTATTTTTCAAAATAATGAATAACATTTCAAAGATTTTAATCTTGTTTTATATCTATGTTACCCTCTCCCCCTTTCTCTCTTATAACATGCATATATCTTCACATTTATAGTGTGATGATACTGGAAGAAACAAACATATGCAGAATCTGACTGTCCAGGAAATTCTTTAAGTAACTTGTGCCCTGGTCACAGCTGTCTGTCTGGCAGTGAGGCCCCCAAGGCTATTTTCCGTAAGAGCCTACATGCAGGAAATGAAATATTTTATTTGGTTACAACCTGGACATTGGAATAAGTGACCGAGCCTGAGTGGAGGTGACTCAGAAAAGCAGGCCCCGGCTCAGCGTGGCTCTGGGTGGCCAGCACCCGTGCTGACGGTGTAACTCATCAGAGAGCATCCGTACAAAGCAGACGCTCCGTAATGTTTGCGCATAGATCCCCATGGTGAGGATCTCATCCCACTACTTGTCCTCAAAACCCTGTTCGCTTCCGCACATGAATGGCATTGTGCCGTGAAAGTATCAAATGTGCATCTGCCGCAGAAACGCCAAGAGCTGATAAAGGTCTTGGGAAGCAATAGGTGTCCTCCCCACACAGGATGTAGCGGGATAAAGACACAATCACCTGCACAAACACAAAACTGCCACTGTGGTGGGGTGTCCGGGGGCTGAGAGGGTGCTGTGAGGTGCGGGCAAAGCTCTCCAAGGACGTGACCTTGGGCTAAAATCTAAAGGTTGAATATGAACCAAGTAGGTAACAGGACAGGACAGGATGTGGGAGGTTCTTCCACCAAGGCCCATGAAGACCGAGTGAAACCACACAGTGGTACAATCTCTACACATAAAAGGCTAAGTGACCGACCATCCGTCCATCTATCCGATCAACCAACCAGTACGTATGGCACACACAGGGTGTGATACATGTAAAGCTCTTGCAGGTGCCAGTCACGTGGGTATTTCAATTTGTCATTGTCAATCGTGAATTTGGTTGCTTTTGTTGACATTCAATATGAACCACATTGCAATTTATTCATCCCACTGACCGGTCGATAAATATGGCATGCACTGGTAATTTAAAAATAAGCGTTGACTCACACATGCGTGATACATATATAGTGCTCCACGGTGCCAATCACACACGTGTTTTAATTTAATACTGCTCCTAGGGAAATCGTCGCATTTTGGACACGTTTACTTGAGATACGTGCCTTTCACGGTCAGTGAACTGTGCCTCAGAAGAAGAGGAGCCCTCTGGTGCCTGCAGAGCGGAGGAAGGGACCAGATACCCAGGGAGACTGAAGTCCCGGGTGGAGTGCGTCGGCACTGGCCTGTTCCACGTGAGAGGAAACCAACTGGACAGTGATGTTCACACACAGGCATCCCAAACCCCGCCACAGTGCAGCGCTGCCGGCTGGTTTACTGGTGGCATCACTCAATTCCACGTACAGTTAGATGGATGCAATTGTCCAAAATCCCACCATTTCCCATCTCTTTTTTTAGATCATATATTTATTTTTTAAAAATATATTTTATTGATTTTTCACAGAGAGGAAGGAAGAAGGATAGAGAGCTAGAAAACATCGATGAGAGAAAAAATCGATCAGCTGCCTCCTGCACATCTCCGTCTGGGGATGTGCCCACAACCAATGTACCTGCCCTTGACCGGAATTGAACCCAGGACTTTTCAGTCTACAGGCTGATGCTCTATCCACTGAGCCAAACAGGTTTCGGCCATTTCCCATCTTAAAGAAAATGTAAATCTAATGAAGTACAATCTTCACTCCTCCGCACTGGCAATCTATACCATTTCTACTCGGTTCTTAAAACAGAGCCTCGGAAATAAAGTCAAGGTTACAAAACACAAGAGCTCCTCAGCTAGCAGTTAGTGACAGGAGTGAGTATTTCATAGGTAATTATACTGAACGTGGGCACGGCTTTCACTTAAAACACACACCAGAAAATTAACATTTCCGGAAAATGGAACATTAAGCCACGAAGACACAGGATGCGCTCAGCGATAGCACACGCCTCCAAAGCAATGCTCCAGGGCGTGTTCCCGGGTCATCACCATTGGGGGAGGCTGTTTCTATGGGCTAGCACAGCGGCATGCTTTAAAAGGTTCCTTAAACAGAACCGAGACTTTTAAAAAGTGTAACGTTCTAAGTAAATCCTTTAGATCAATGCCAATCAGGAAGTCTTGAAGGATGTCTCTTTCTAAATTGCCGTAATGATGGCAATATTAGTCCGATAAGGAGTGAAGTCCTAACATTTCACTAGACATAAAAACAAGCGAGTCATGTGCTGCAGAGAACAACGAATTAAAATGCTATTTGAACTGTAAGTGGTGCAGCCACTTTGGAAAATGCTGGAAGGGAATAATCATGTACATGAGCCAGCAATCTGCCCACAGGCACCGACCGGAGAGGCGGCGTCCACGGGAAGACTGCCCTGAAGAGAGACAGAAGCTTCCTTCCCAAGGCCCGGTGTCCCCGTGAGCTGGAACGGCCGGCGGCCACCCGGTGAAACACTCGCCCCCGCGCCCTCCTCCGCGGCTGCCTGGAGACGTCCGTGGGTGCCCGCTCTGGAGAACCGTCCCGGGACACACCCCACGGCCCGAGGGGGCAGTGCCGTCATAACGGGCTGGGCGCGCAGTGCATGCCTCTGCCGACGTTCAGGGACCGTGCCTTTCACGGTCAGTGAGCTGTGCCTCAGAGGGAAGAGGACTCTGAGAGCACACGTTACCTCTGGCTGTGGGGTGCTGCGGAGGACCTGGAGGAAGGACCGAGTCTGCAGTCGACAGTGAAACACATTGCAGAGAGGGGCCGGGGGCAAAGGGGCGGCATGTGCACAGGAGCCTCGGGAGCAGCTCTCCCCACCCGGCTCAGTGACTCTAAAGGGCCAGGAGTATTGCATTATGTCCTGGGGCCGTCAGTCCTGAGTGTCCTTCTACATGCAGACTGATTGCTAGGAGTGCCTCCTCTCTGCCCTGCGCACGCCCATTCCCCTCCACTCCCAAAGGAGAGGGCAGCGCTCCCGCACTCACAGGAGAAGAAAGCCATGTCCCATGAGCCCCGTCTCGCTTCTTTCTTCACCAAAGTGATGTAAGCAGGCCCTCCTCCCTTCCCTGTGCCTCACCCTTCCCCCCCCCCCCGCTGGCACGGCCCCAAGTCAGGTGCCAGTCTTCTCTCAGATGCCCGCCCCTTGCTCAGGTGCTGCTGCGTGCACGTTAGATCAGCCGGCCTCCAAGGACCAGCACGGCAAGCGCAGGGTTACGCTGGGAAGAGAATCCGAGGCTCCTGCCTTGGGCGCAGCAAAAGGAGCCTGGTTGAGGGGCCACTGCTCCAGCCGGAAGTACGGTTCTTCTCAACCCCCACTCCTCGCCCCGCCTCCCACACCAGCTCTGCTCCAGGGGCGCCTCTGTGTGCAGGCGGGCGTCCCCCGGGCACAGCAGGAGGAACGGTGGCCGAGGAGAGGATGTGCGGACCACAAGGCCCACTAACAGAGCCCCCTTCTGCCTCCCCACCTGCCCAGGTACTGAGGACACCCTTCCAAGGCGAAGCACGCAGATGCATGTGCTCCTGCTTCCCAATCACGCGGACTGAGCAGCACTGTGGCATCTGGCCCGGGGACTGGCAAAGCAGGTGCAGGGAGACCGGACCTTGGGCTCTGTCATCTCCTCCCAGAACACCCAGAGACGCCCTGAACTGGGACGAAGGTCTCACAGCGGGTGTGGCATTCGCTTGTCCGATTTTTGTTTTCCTAACGAATAACGGATCGAATGGCGACGTGTCTCTGCTCTATACATGTCCCTGTGTTCTGTTCCCACACACACTGCTGTCCGAGAAAACAGGCTCCGGCAGAACGCCGAGCTGGCAGGCCACTGCGCTGCTCAGCACGCTTACCTCGTTGGCAGGCACGGTGGCAAAGGGCGTGATGACGGCGGCCAGGGGGATCTGCGTCTGCTTGGCCATGTCTGCTGTGCACGGGAAGCAGTAGGTGGTGCAGCGGATGTAGCGAGGACTGGCATTGCCTGGAACAGTCAGAGGCACACTCAGATCAGCATGAAACGGGCACACATGAGCGCTGTGAAGAGGCTTCTGGGTAATGCGTGGCCTGTGTGTAAGACCTGCCTCAGGGTTTCTAAAAAAGGAGGACTGTGCAATTCCACCATCCAGCAGCCAGGGGCACTGCGACTGCTTGCACAACAACCCTCTGAGCAGACAGGTGCTCCCACTGCTCCCACCGCAGGGGTTAACACACCCACTGCAGCCCAGGGCGCTCAGGCCAAGGCCAAGCGGAAACGGAGCAAAGGCTCAGAGCAGGCGCCCTCCCGCCTCCCAGCGACCCCTGCCGGCTGTGGAGAGCTGAGCTTCTGGGCCACGTGTGTCCGCAGGGGACACTTCCTCAGTGCGATTCCATTTGATTACGTCAGTTTTAAACTGAAAATCAAATCTAGAAATGAAAGTTCTACTTGTAATAGAAATGTGTTTTAGCACTTCAATCTATTTTTAATATACATTGTTTCCTAAGCAATTGTATCTATTTCATGGCATGACAAATACTTTGAATCTCTAGAATAACTTTCTTAAAATAAAACTTGAAATTAAATTATGATTAAAACCTGTAACATTTTATGGTGAAGAGAATGCAAACCTCAGCCCTTTGCTACGGGTGAGACGCTGTCCCCAGGAGGACACACACATATTATCCCCCAGGGGCGGCGTGTGGCCTCGGAAGACGGAAGTGGATGGGAACGCACACCTGGCTAAGGGAGGCGCCTGCATTGTAAACAGACGCAGGGGGCCTCAGTGAAAAGTACAGTGAGCAAAGCCTCCAAAGAGACGCGGGGTTTCCCAGGCAGGCAGCTGGGGCAGCTGTGAGTTCTCACTTGTCACTGAGGGTAGGCAATGCTGAGGCGCAGAGGTGAGAGGAGCAAAACTCAGGGGGCAGAAGGAAGGAGCCTGGATTCATGTGCAGGTGTGCGAGACGTGCAGGTGTGTAGGTGTGCAGGTGTGCGAGATGTGGTGTGTGAGATGTGCAGGTGTGCAGGTGTGTAGGTGTACAGGTGTGCAGGTGTGCGAGACATGCAGGTGTGTAGATGTGCAGGTGTACGAGACGTGCAGGTGTGTGTGTAGGTGTGTGAGGTGTGAAGGTGTGCAGATGTGTAGGTGTGCAGGTGTGCGAGACGTGCAGGTGTGTAGGTGTGCAGGTGTGTGAGGTGTGAAGATGTGCAGGTGTGTAGGTGTGTGAGGTGTGAAGGTGTGCAGGTGTGCAGGTGTGCGAGACGTGCAGATGTGCAGGTGTGCGAGACGTGCAGGTGTGTAGGTGTGCAGGTGTGCAAGATGTGCAGGTGTGTAGGTGTGCAGGTGTGCGAGATGTGAAGGTGTGTAGGTGTGCAGGTGTGCGAGACGTGCAGGTGTGCAGATGTGCAAGTGTGCGAGATGAGCAGGTGTGTAGGTGTGCAGGTGTGCGAGACGTGCAGGTGTGTGAGATGTGAAGGTATGTAGGTGTGCAAGTGTGCGAGGCCCAGGAGGCTCCCACAAAGTCCCTCTGCCCAGCTGCTGCCTGGACAGTGCTGAGGCCAGCTCAGACGACAGACCTGGGAGGAGGGGAGACCCCCAATGAGAACCTGGCTGGCTCCACAACTCTGAGGTGACACAAAATGTGTGTTCACACACAGACACTGTACTTCCAGGGCCAAGGACGTGACCCAGCAAACAGCATCTCGTGGGCTAGGTGTCCGCCTTATGAAGGTGGACTTTAGCTGCCATAACAACAGGACACTCTGATCCGGGAGATGAACCCTGCTCGAGGCTGACAGTGGACTAAGTGACCTTGGCCAGGGTGCGGCCAGGGACAGCTCAGTGCTCCTTGTCTTGGCGGCAAAGAGGGCACACAGATCAGAGTCTTAAAGGAGCTGCTGTCAGGACGCGGCTGGCAGGGACATCTCCCACCTTCAATGCCCTGGGTTCTGCCCATGCCGTCTGCCAGGTCCCATGCAGCGAGTAAGGTGACAGAGGAGGGCATGAGCTAATACACCATCGTGAGCGTAAAGAGCCCCCCAGACTGTGATGGTGCATGCCCTCACCGAAACGAGACTGCGGCTGCCAGCCCGCCTGTGCTGGTGACTTGACGCTGTGCTCAGGGCTCTCTGTTCTGTGTGACCTCAGTCTCACACTGCATCCTGCGGCGAGCACAGCGCTGCAGGGGAAACTGAGGCTTGGAGAGCTTAAGTACCAACGTGGGTCCCACGTACAGAGAGTGACGTGGCTGGACCTCAGAGCCCTGTCCCCGCTCAGGCTCTGCAGACACACAGACGGGTCTTCACAGAATCACCTGTAAAACGTTCCCATCAGCGAAGGCGCGATTGAGGGATCAGTGCACGAGCTGAAAAATAATGCTTCGAGCCGGCCAGCATAGCTCAGTGGTTGAGTGTCAACCTATGAACCAGGACAGTGGTCGGCAAACTGCGGCTCTCGAGCCATATGCGGCTTTTTGGCCCCTTGACTGTGGCTCTGCCACAAAATACCACGGCCTGTGTGAGTCTCTTTTGAAGAAGTGGTATTAGAAGAAGTTTAAAAAATTTGGCTCTCAAAAGAAATTTCAATCGTTGTCCTGTTGATATTTTGCTGTGCTGTGTTGACTAATAAGTTTGCTGACCACTGAACCAGGAGATCTCAGTTTGATTCCCCGTTAGGGCACATACCCAGGTTGCAGGATCAATCCTCAGTTTGGGGCATACAGGAGGCAGCCAATCAATGATTCTCTCATCATTGATGTTTCTCTCTCTCTCCTTCTCCCTTCTTTTCTGAAATCAATAAAAATATATTAACAAATAATAAAAATTATAAAACCTCAATCAAAACTCTTGTTGCGAGTAAATACCTTGGTCTTGCACCACGCAGTCCGTGGTGACCAGGGGCGGGACCTGGCCTCTGGTGCTGGTGGCATACACCTGTCCCCCTCGGGCGGCTCGGTCGCTCTCAATCACCTGAATCTGGTGGGGAAGACAGAGAGCAAGTCAGTCCCGTCGTCTCCATGCTCATCTCCTCCCTGAGCACACAACATGGCTCACTGCGGAGCCAGCTCCTGAGCAGCCAATGCTGACTGTGACAGCGTTAGGTCAGTCCTTCCCAATTCTACTTATACTCCGAGCTCTGACCCAACCCTTCAGAGAACTTTATTTTTATTCAATTTGTTTATTGGGACTTAAACATTTTTTAAAAATCTGGTAGAAAGCTGGAACCGGTTTGGCTCAGTGGCAGAGCGTCGCTCTGGGGACTGAAAGATCCCAGGTTCGATTCCTGTCAAGGGCATGTACCTTGGTTGCGGGCACCTCCCCAGTAGGGGGCATGTAAGAGGCAGCTGATCGATGATTCTCTCTCATCGATGTTTCTAACTCTCTATCCCTCTCTCTTCCTCTCTGTAAAAAAATCAATAAAAATATATTTTTTAAAAATCTGGTAGAAAAATAAATTGAAAATAACTTTTTAAAGAAAATAATTTTTGCAATTGAAGAAAAGTCTAGAAGCCTCAAAATGAGATTTACAACATAAGACCCAAACAAGCCTTAAGGTCCTCCTCAAATCCCGTTTGGCCTTCAGCGCGCTCTGCCCCCCTCCCCGCCCCCCGTGACTTGAGACGAACAGCCCGGTGGGCTCCCACGGGGCACACGTCAGAAGAGAACGCTTCGCTCGGAAACCCCAGGAATGTCTGAGAAAACCCCTTGTGATGAAAACTGGAGGGACCGGCAGTCTCTCTGTTGTACGTGCTTTGGGGTGACAGCAAGGAGCAGGAGCTGCGGTGTGGAACCAGAGAAACAAGAGGGAACCCTACAATTCTCTCCTCCCTCCGTGCGCCTCCTCTCTTCATGGGGATGAACGAGCCTGGGGTCGGACAGAGAGGAAAGATGGGAAACTGGAGAAAGGAGGCAAGTGTCAAACTGAAGTGCTGGCTTTGGATGATACATAGTTGTTTATGTTCCAAAAGAAGTTACTCCAGTAACAAACTGTCTTCCTCAAACTCTGAAATGGTGCCCTGCCCACCCCCCAACTCACCCCTCCCGCTGGCTGGCTGGCGCTAACCCGGGGTCTGAGGGCATGCCAGACTCCTCCGGCTCCGCCTGCCTGTAAGTACACATCCTGCCTCCCTCATTCAAATCACTGGACTGGGGTTCTAACTGGATTAAAGATATAGAATATGCTCCAAACACAATTACTGTGGAGCATAGATGAGACTCAAGTTCGCACGGGCAGACACAGGAGGCAAACACTATAATCAAAGCAATAATTACATTCCGTATTCCAACATAGCCTGTTCATTCAAAACTGGGATAGATTTTATATTATCAACATTCACTGTAATGGTTTCACCAATGAAGTGTCAAATATGACAGTGAAATAAAAATTATCTAACCTATATATTGAACGTAGATGGTTCTTAGTTTTCAAATAGATTATTTCCAAAAAGTTTGTTTTTAAATTCGCCATTTGCGATTTACAAGCACTGGCTCCAAAGAAAGGATGTCACACATGGTAATTAATTTCTAAACTAACCTACACATTGGCTGGAGTGCTACGAAGAGAGTGAGAAATGCTCTAACAGTTCTAGTAATTTTAAAAACTATATTATCGCTTTTTACATTGACCTCGAATGTGTGTGCTCAGAAAACAGGCCCAGAGGTGAGACTTATCACGAGAAATCCCAGCAGAGGCCCTGAGTGGTGACTGTGCTTCCGGGCTTTGACTCGGGACAAAGCCAAATTGCCTCCCGCAGAGGAGCTGGGAACCGCTCACACTATGGGCCATGGCGCTTAGGGCCATGGAACAGGACCAGGAGGAGAGCGTTCTCTGGGATGATGAGTAGGATGGGTGGGGGTGGGGGCGGGGGGGGGGATGTGCCGTGCCACAAAGGGGTGTCTCGGGGCTGCCAAGGGCAGGGATGTGACCTGGGGAGCAGGGGCAGGAGAACTGGCTCCTGCAGGCACAGAGGGAGAAAGGGAGTCCTGAGGGGAGACCAGGGCCTCATTTCCGGGGCCTGGGCAGGGCCTGGGCAGGGAGCACTAGCTCAGACTGCTATGCAGCAGGCGTTCAGTGAGCAGGATGTTATCCTTTCCTTCCAGAAGCGAGGATGCCGTTAGCAGCAAAAGCATCTGCTGTGGTGATAGGAGCATAACCCCCTAGCGTTGCTCTTCCGTTCCTTTTAGGTACAACACACCGGACTGCTCTTCCTGTGCGCATTCCAGCGTCAGGATGAGCCCGGCACAGGCTGCTCTGGCTTTGTTGTTATGTTCACTCATTCACTCCACAGCATGAGAATGCCCACCTACCACCCTGGCCACCGGAGGCTCTGCCGGGACCCAGGGGGGAGGAGGTGGACATGGGCACCAGGACAGGACCAGGACCAGAGAGGCAGCCAAAGGGCTAGCCGGGAGGCGGGTGGGAAAGAGAATCGAGTATTTTGGCCAAAGAGCTAGGAGAGGGGGTTGGAATCCGGGTTCAGGGAAAGATCTTGACCAGGACTATCCGCACCTCGATACAGCCCTGAGACAGGAACCACTGAGGGAGCTGCTTCCCGAATGCCCGAGGATCACCGGAGAGCTCGCGAGAACAGATCCAGCCCCCAGAGGTCTGGCTCAGGGGGGCTGGTGCAGCTGAGCACGGATCGCTAACAGCACCAGCTGACGCTGAGAGGCCATCCCGGGGCACAGGGGGACTGGAAGCTCCCGAGCTGCCCTCCACAGCCCTCCTCCTCTTCTCCCTTTGCCCTCACCCTGGAATGTGGAACAAGGACAGGGGCCAAACTGCAGCTGCTGAGCCTGCAGGCCATTTAGGTGGCAGCAAATCCCTGCAGTTGTGAGCAGAGCTGGGGGTTATTTGTTACACAGAGCAACTTAGTGAAAGCTGACTGATATAGTTCCTAGAGCAATCCTCTTCTTGGATGGAAAAGTTACAGCTCTAAGTCTACATTAAACAATTTTAAAAATTTATCTTTATTGTTGAAATTATTACATATGACCCCCCTTTTTTCCTATTGACCCCCCCATCCCACACCCACATCACCACCCCCAGGCCTTCACTACACTATTGGCTGTGTCCGTGGGTTAAATATATATGTATGTATGTTCTTTGGTTCAAAAATAATTTTGTTTTTTAATATGCAAACTACACTTTGCTTTCACTCTCCATGGAAATCTTACTCTGGTTAAAAAGGGTCCCTTAGTTATTTAGACAGTATGTGCATACAGGACACACTCTTACTACTAAGGACTCATTGCACATAATAAATACTGCCAATATAGTAACTACATCAGCAGATACTGCAAGTTCACAGAATAGCAAAGAGGAATCTACACGGGCTGCTTCTCAGGGAGCCCGGTGCGTGACCCCTCTGCCCACACACACGGGAAGGAGCCTTCCCTGCGCGGGAGTGCCTGCCAGCGAAGGGACAGGGTGGCCACCCTGGAGAGCGCTGGGAAGGAGGAGCAGAGAGCGGCCCTTTGTGGGGGAGAGGAGGAGCGGGAGGGGTGCTTACAGGGCTGGGCACGGCGTCGGGGTCCAGCTTCCTCTGGGGCGGGGCCGGGCCCGCCATCTGCGCAGGCCCTCCGGGGAAGCCTCCCGGGTACGCCAGCTGCGCGCCTGGCATCTGGGCGCCGTAGTTGCCTGTTTGGAACAATTTTACAAAGAAATTACTAGAATCCAAACGCAGAGGCGGCCCATGGCACAGCCCTGCTGGTCAGCGGGCACACTGCGCCATCGCCTGGCACAGGCAGGGGCTGCATGGGGTCGTCCAGAGTCCTCTCTTCCCGGGGGCCATACTGTCAGAGTCCCTCCCTGGGCGGTGACAGGGGCCCCGGTGCAGGAGCAGTGATTTCCCGGAAGGGCAGCCCCGACACCCAGGCCCTGCCCTGGCCTTGCCCGTCTCACCTTGCTGCGGGGGGTACCCACTGCCCAGGGTCTGTCCTGGAAGCGGCGGGGGCTGCAGCTGGGCACTCGGAGGCGCCGGGCCGGGCGGAGGCATGGGTGGCGCCCCCAGGCCGTTCAGTGCGGTGGGCGGTGGAGGGAGCACCTGAGACCCAGGCTGCAGAATGGACGGCTGCAGAGGCGGCGGCGGAGCACCCTGGCCAGAGGGTGCCTGGCCAGGGGGTGCCGTGCCCGAACCTGTGGGGAAGACGAGCCGTCAGGGACACCGCGTCTCCATCTGCCCCGCCAAGGACACACGCACCTTCCCGACAGGAAGCAAGAAGCACCCACAAACCCACGGCCTTCTCCCCACAAGAGACACTTCACTCAGCACGCGACACAGATGCCATCTCACAACGACAGCATCATGATTTTAGTGAGAAGATAGCAGGTTAAGTTTAACTCCGCTGCACTGACTTCGTTTGACATACGCCTTAACTAGGGAATGGCATCCGGGACAAAATCGACAGTCACACAGGAGACGGACACACGAACAGTGGTTACGCAACAGGCGTCAGTGAGGTCACCACACAGCCAGTCCGTGTTTGCACCCTGAGCTGTTCCCGATCCAGCGGGTTCAGAACCAGGGACGCTGACACGCCCTCCAATCACACTGGACCATTTCCCTTCCTGAGTGTGAACGTGGGTGCTTCACGGAGACAGAGACGGACCCATTGGAATCAGTGAGAGATAAGAAATATCTGAGGGTTTTCCCACTGATGCTTCTGACACTCACTCTCAGTGATGGAAACGTTCGGAAGATGCAGGGCTGGCTGTGCTATTAGGCAGCAGCCCCTGGCCCGAGCACCCAGCACCTCGGGGCGATCAGCACCGGCCTGCCTGCTCGCCGTTCCCTGCTCTGCTGCCCCGCACCGGGGCCACCCGACCCCGTGCCATGGAGCACTGCTCACCGAGGCCCGTACACAGGGAACGGGCGGCTGAGCAGTTTGCAGGTGACAGGCTAAGCTGCCTCGCGCTTCCCAGAGGAAGGTCGTGTCCTCAGGCTCACTGTAACCACAGCGTTTTGTGTTTTCTGTCGTGTACTGACGTAAGGTACCCTAGGGTCCTTCAATTACCGTAAATGACTGGCAGCACGGTCAGGGGCAGTTAATTACAGCCATTCACAGTACAGATGAGCGAAGTCAAAACGTCCGAACACAACGTGGGCGCGCTGCGCCAGGGCCAGAGCATTTGGAAGAGAGAACCTTTCGCGTTCACGCTCTCCTGACGCGGGCGGCCCGGGCACAGACAGGGGCACAGACAGGGGCACGTTACCGTAGCTGATGTGCATGGTGTCGAGCTGGCTGCCCAGCTGGGAGACAGATGCAGTGGGCATGGCACTGGGATACGATGACTGTGTCGCGGGTGGATAGGGGGCATAGGAGGATGCCGCGCTGTTGGCAGGAGGAGGGCCTGGGAATCTGAGAGAGAAGAGGATGTTAAGTTAGACCATAGAGTTCCATAGGCACATGACATACACGAACACCAATAACTTGTAAAATTAAGTGCGCCTCTCTGGGCACCAGGGAAAGGACATGTCCACCTGTCTTCCATGTTCCGGAGCTGAGCTCAGGTGAGTCATGCAGCAGCGTCCCGGCAGCCCCAGGGCTGAGCCTGCACACGGGACTCCCCTGGCCTCTGCGTGTTTCACCCCACCCTGACCTTCAGTCACAGCCCACGTGGGAGCAGGGGAATGGGGAGGAGGGGGCAAGGCCTGCGGGTGCTGGCTGGGATCCTAGGTGCAGCTGTCAGAGCGGGGCCACAGAGGCAGGGGTCTCCCGTGGATGTGGCACTGACCGGTTCAGAGCCCGGTGCCCCTCCATGGCTCAGCCACCCTCACGCCACCTGACGTCCAGGGGGATGAGGATCCAAGGCTCAGGGTGGTGCCTGCTCCGGTCAGCCGTGCCTGAGCCGGGAGAGCGAGCTCACCGGACCTGGAGCCAGAGCCCGCTGAGCGCCACCCACAGCAGGGGACGGCCGCGGCTCACGGAGCCAAGGAGCCTCATCAGGACAAAGGGACAGAACCAAAGCTGACACCGGAGACCACACCTTCCCTGTGCTTCAAAGCAGCTGCTCAGCTTTTACATTTCTTCCCTAAAACACCTGCGATGCCGGCAGTTCACAGAGCGGTCTGCCCAGGTCTGCTCCCTCCCCTCCCCTGTCCCGCTTGTGACACCATTTCCACAGTTACAAGCAGGACAGGCACAGGGAGCAGCACCAGCACCACAGCATTCGGCTTCACCCAGAAGAGCGGCTGGGTCTGCCCTCTGACCCTCCCCAGACCTGTCACATGCAAACTGCTCAGCCGCCCGTTCCCTGCATCTGCCCGCTCCTCCTCTCACAGCCGCCCCTCCGTGCAGAGGGTCAGGACAAACCAGAGCCAGCACCGGGAGCCTCCCCAGCGCAGGGCAGGAGATTCACCGCTGCGGGACTGGAGCTCTCTACGGGGCCAGATTCACACTGGGGTCCCGACCTCGCAGCCTGACCCCCTGGGGAAGGAAGCTGGGAGACAGCAGCCTCGGGTGATCCTTGGAGAAGTTCCCATGCAAACAGTGCTCCTGGGCACAGCTTCTCCACATCTCCGTGGACACACAAGCAGGGCTCCAGCGGGCGGGTGACGGTCCCTCCCAGGGACAGTCTGGAGGGTGCAGGCTGGGAGCACCACCTCCCAGGGCCCTTCCTTCCTTATGATAAACATGGCCTGGGCTCCCTCCTGGGCTGCTCTCACTCCCGCCAGCCCATCAAGGACCCTCACCGGACGGCAAATCCACTCTCTCCCTGGGCTGCCTCTGATTTGTTTTTAAATATTTATCAAGCCCCTGCAGGCACTGTGCTCAGTTCCGTGAAAAAATTGAGAGAGGAGGGGGTTTAAAATTGCATTGGGAATACGGGCCATTGACATCTGAGAAATGAGAGATTAATACAAAACTCTAAAATAAGATGCCTAAAACCAAACAGTAAAAAGCCTGGTACAAACACAGTAACTTTTATATATTTCTAGTATGTACCGATGCTGCAGGCAGTGAGACCAGTCAAGCAAGGACCTTGGGCAGGTAAGGCCACCAGGATGGAAAGCCCCGGAGCCTAGCAATGGAGAAGCAATGGTGGGTGAGACCCCCGCCCCCGCCACTCCCACCCCCAGGGTGACCTTTCCTTCCCAGCATGTTGCTGCTCATTGGTTTGGACCCCCTGACCTTTCCTCCTTGGAGACAACATCGAGGCCTCAGTTGTGTGTCAGCTCCAGGCCCAGAAGAGCAATAAAACCAGCCATGCTGACCTCAGGGCCAGTTGCAGGGGACAATGACTCCTGCCCTGGTGCTGCCAGTCAATCAGTGGAGACCACACCCTAAAAGCTGCTGAATATTCTAAGCACACTTTCTCCTGGGACCTCCCCTACAATGCCGTCCTTACCCCTCAGGACAGAGGGCCCCCTGCCTCCCCCTCCCCCCACTCCCAGCACCCAGGCGAAGACCCTTAGCTCATCACTCCGCCGCTCCCAGGCCCTCCCTTTACTCCACAGCTCGCTTCCTCAGCCCGTTCTTCCAGGACCTGCTTCCCCGCCCTCCGCGATTTACCCAGGAAGTGTCTCTCACAGGCTGGGTCTGCTCTGAGCTCTTTCCCAGCAGACTGCACCAGGCTGCAGCTCCAGGCGTGGGCGGCACCGGGAGGGCTCCCGCCACACCAGTGCTGAGCTGTCCCTCCTGACTTCCTAAGAGCCTGTGTGCTGGGGCGCTTGAGGATGAGGCCAGACCAGGAGGTCAGACGCTCCGTGGACAAACACGTGGGTGTGGAATCCGTCCCACTCACCTCTGGGGAGGACGGCCCTGGGCATGAGCTCCGTTCTGGCCAAACTGATGTGGTCCAGGCGGCGGGGGGCCCGGAGGCAGCACCCCCCCAGGAGCAGCCCCCATGGGCCCTGCTGGCTTCATCGCACCTGCAAGGGAAGGCATAGATTCAGAGGAGGCTGGACGTGCAGAGCCCGGACGCAAAGACCTCGGTGGGAGGGAAGGAGCACGTTAGGACCAGTTGTCTGAACTATCCAGGCCCATCAGTGTCACTTGACCGTGGCCGTGACAGAGCAGAGCAGAAAGGAAGCGTGTTCACACTGCACAGGCACCGACGTTGGTGCCTGTGCAGTGTGAACATGCTTTTTTTCTGCGTCTGATGGCGGTGCCCTCACCGACCACTGCCTTTCACACATGCTTCCTTTCTGCGTCTGATGGCGGTGCCCTCACCAACCACTGCCTTTCACACATGCTTCCTTTCTGTGTCTGATGGCGGTGCCCTCACCGACCACTGCCTTTCACACACAGCTCTGGCACGGGGAGGTGCCGACTGGTCATCAGGAAGTCAGCTGAAGGAAAGAAACAAATATCAGAGAATCCAAGATGGCGGCATTGGTAAACACCTACCGCAGCCGCACACAACAATGTCAATAAAATACAACTAAATACAAAATGGACATTACCCAGAACTACAGGAAAGTCGACTGATTGGAAATTCTACAACGAGAAGGAAAGAGAAAACCAGAAGGAAAAGCAGAGGAGCTGTAAAAGCCAAAGGTATGGAGACATGTTGCATGCGAGGAGAGGACAAAGCTGGAGAGGAGGGGGAGGCTGAGTGCCTGGCTGGCATTCCCTAGCAGGAAGGAGATAAAAGCTCCGGACTGTGCTGAATCCCAGAAACAACAGCACTGAACCCCAGTTCTAGGCCAGGCCCTGGGGACCCAGGCTCATACAGAGGGAGCCTGGGCTGTAAGGCGGAAACCCAGGGGAGCAGTGAAAGAAAGTCCCGGAGGTGCGCACATTGCGCGCAGAGAACGGACGATTGACTGTGCCACTGGATTGCCCTAGCGGAAAGGAGACAAAAGCTCCAGACTGCTCTGAACCCCACTTCCAACTCCACTTCCAATTGAACTGAACCCCAGTTCCAGACTCATTGAAGAAGAGCCTAGACTGTTTGGTAGCGGGCGAAACTCGAGGGCACCTTTCTCTCAGAGGTGCTTGCAGTGAGTACCGAAGGACACTGAGGAATTCTGAGACTCAGGAGCCTTATAGGACAGGGCTGACAGAAGCCAAGGCTGTAGGCTCCACCCTGAAACTCCGCCCCATCCAAGCTGAGCACAGAGACTTTTAAGGCTACCAACTCAGGAAAGCTGGGAAAATGCAGAGACAAGGAAACAAATCACAAACAAAAGAAATGGAGGACAAAAAGCGACTGGATATAGAGTTCAAAACCACACTTATAAGGTTTTTCAAGAATTTCCTAGAAAAGGCCGATAAAATAAACTAGACCTATGAGGATATGAAAAGGGATCAACTAAAATAATAAGGGATCAACAAGAAATAATAAGGGATCAACAAGAAATAAAGAATACATTGTTTGAAATAAAAAATATTATACAGAGTCCTAAAAACAGAATGGAAGATCGCAAGAATCAAGTCAAAGATTTGGAATATAAAGAGCCAGAAGACAACTCCTCCGCAGAAGGGAGAAGATAAGAGAATCTAGAAAGTTGAAGATAATGTAAGAAACCTCTGGGACAACTTCAAGCGAACCAACATCAGAATTATGGGGGTCCCAGAAGAAGAGAGAGAGCAAGATATTGAAAACATACTGAAAGAAATAGTGACAGAAAACTTGCCCCACCTGGTGAAAGAATTAGACCTACTAGTCCAGGAAGCACACAGAACTCCAAACAAAAGGAATCCAAAGAAGACCACACCAAGACACATCATAATTAAAATTCCAAGAGCAAAAGACAAAGAGAAAATATTAAAAGCAGCAAGAGAAAAGCAGGTAGTTACCTATAAAGGAGCACCCATACGACTGTCAGCTGATTTCTCAACAGAAACCATGCAGGCCAGATGGGAATGGCAAGAAATATTCAAGGTGATGAATAGCAAGAACCTACAGCCAAAAATACTCTACCCAGCAAAGCTATCACTCAGAATCGAAGGCCAGATAAAGAGCTTCACTAATAAAAAAAACTAAAGGAGTTCATCACTGCCAAACCAGAATTATATAAATTGCTGAAGGGGGTTCTTTCGGAAGAGAAAAAAAATAAAGATAAAAATTATGAACAACAAATACATAACTATCAACAAGTGAATCTAAAAACCAAGGGAATAAAAATTTGATGAAGAATATTAACTGGTGAATATAGTAGAATCAGAGGTATGGAAGGAGAGTGAACTGACGATTCTCGGGGGAAAAGGAGTGGGGGATGTGGGAAGAGACTGAACATAAACTATGCATCTATGGATGAGGACAATGGGGAGTGGGGAAAGGGCAGAGGGTGGGGTGGGAACCTGGTGGAGGGGAACAATGGAGGGGGCAGAAATGAGGAACATTTGTAATAATATGAACAATAAAGATTTATTTAAAATTAAAAAAATCAGTCTGACAAAAACAGTGCAAGCCTGAAACATCCAGATCCCATGTGCAGAGAGCCCCAGGAGGCCAGGAGTTCTCACCCCAAATCCAGCTCATGTGTGAGCTACAGCAGAAGGAAGGCGGGGGGCACAGCCTGTGTCCCCGGCGTCGCTCCGGACCCCACACCTGGTGGCAACCGCCAAGGCCCAGCTGCTCAGGGCCCAGTCACTCACATATGACGCTAGGTGCTGGGGCTCAGTATTCACATATGACACTAGGTCCTGGGGCCTCAGTACTCACTTATGACGCTAGGTGCTGGGGCCTCAGTACTCACTTATGACGCTAGGTGCTGGGGCCTCAGTACTCACTTATGACGCTAGGTGCTGGAGCCCAGTCACTTACATGACGCTAGGTGCTGGAGCCTCAGTACTCACATATGATGCTAGGTGCTGGGGCCCAGTCACTCACATATGATGCTAGGTGCTGGGGCCTCAGTACTCACATATGATGCTAGGTGCTGGGGCCTCAGTACTCACATATGATGCTGGGTGCTGGGGCCTCAGTACTCACATATAATGCTAGGTGCTGGGGCCTCAGTACTCACTTATGACGCTAGGTGCTGGGGCCTCAGTACTCACTTATGACGCTAGGTGCTGGGATGGGGACTGATTTTTATTTACAAACCACTCTTCCCCTTGCGGTCTTTAAAGGTTTCTCTTTGACCTGTCCTCAGACACTTGCCTCTCTTCTTCTCGGAAGAGCTGGCACAGGAGGGAAGTGGGGCTGGCTAGCAGACGGTGGGCTGCACAAGAACTGTCTTTGAGGACTGTTTGCCCTCTCACTCTAGAGCACCTGGGACACCCCGCACCGCCCCCTGCATTCTGAAAGGACTGGGAGAGAAGGTGCACGTCTGTGCTCCCCACTCCGCCTGCTGGTTTTGGCCATAGCCGGCTCGGCTCCCAGGGGCCCGCCCGCCCTCCGGCATGCCCTCAGCGGCCTCCCAGTGGTCCTGCCCGCCAATGCCCTCAAAATGGGGCTGCACACGCAGCATCTGCTTCCTCCGTGTCCCTCTAGGAAGTTAGTCCCCAGATCCCGCAGCCCAGGAAGAGTTTCTGACAAAGCACATCCGTGTGCACGCGTTCCACTGCTGGGTGACCTCGAAGGGAACACGGCGGGGAGGGGCAGCGTTCCCGAGCAATACCCCACGTTCACAAGTTTCTCCCCGGAAACGGGATTCCTCAAGCTGAAGAAAAAGCTCCTATTAACTTTACAGTCCGTTTTATTTAGCAGTTTTTCATCTACCGAGAGTAAAACCAAGTACGTGATTCTTATAGCAACATACATTGTGATATGAAGGTTTTTCTAAACCCAAACCCAGCCCACGAGAAGGACAAGAGGCTTACAGGCACGGAGGTCTGAGCTCGCCAGCACTGACCAGCGGAGGCCCTGAGCAGACACCATAACCCTCAAAGCCTGGCCCCACCACCACCAGGGTGACACTGCCCCCTCTGAGGGCAGCTCTGAGGGCATCTGGAACAAGGCCTGTGTACAAGGTAACCCCCAGCAAGTCCCAAGGCCTTCTCCCCTGGCCATGCCCTACCCTCCTTTTCTCAAGAATTTATATTCTAACAACACGTATGCACACTTGCATTTTTTAAATTTCTTTATTGATTAAGGTATCACTTATTTGTCCTCAACCCCTCATTCCAATCCCCCACCCCTCCCTACTCATGCGTCCACCCCCTACCCCCCACTGTCCTTGACCAGGCTAGTCTCATATGTATGCACACAAGTCCTTTGGTTGATTTCTCCCTTTTATCCCCACCCTCCCTACCTTCCCTCTGAGGTCCAGCAGTCTGAGGCACTTGCATTTTCATTTTAAACACTCTTTTGGACAAAAGCAGAAAATTCACGACACTAAAATAGTAACTAATTACATGATTACAAGAAACCAAAGATAGTCTCATGTCTTAAATAAGCAAGGAAGTAGAAATTTCATCAGCACCCCTCACACACGTGTCCGAGAATCAAAACCAGTTCTCGGAGTTACTCATGTTGGGGTGCTCCTGTGTGGATGTGCTGCGCATGTTAATCAACTTTTGTTTCTAAAAACGAAGTCATAACAAAGACCAAAACAAGATGCCAGGCCTTGCCGCCTTCCTCCCAGACTCACAGGCCTGAGCCCATGCACCCACCCTGGAGTCCGGGCAGCCCCAGCCTGAATCCGCTAGCCCACCGACAAAACGTATATGTGCGTAAAAAAGAATATTTCCTAGACAAGATTTTAAGAACAACTTGTTCTAGTGGAACTCCACAGTAAATTTGCATATATGTAAATAATGCTAGATGGGGCGGAGAGGGGGAGGGAGAGAATGATATTCAAGAAGAAAAAGGAGTAACTTAAAATTTTCTTCCACTTATATGTTCTGACAATGAGACTGCTATATACAAGATAAGCTGGAAATTTTTATTCAAATACTGAAACTAGCCACTGTCAGTGTAATAGAAGTTGCTTATATCTAAGGGATGCGGCACAAGGTTGGTAGGCATTTCTCTCCTGTTTTTTGTTTTTTTTTTGGGGGGGGGAGGAACAATTTTCGGTGGCCTTGGTCCTGAAGGCTCCCCATGGCGCTGGTTAAAGGAAGAAGAAGCAAATGCACAACTCTGCACCGTTAGGTGGTCACTGACTCTCATCATTGATGCTCTTATCTCTACCTTACCTCTGGGTTATAGTGTGTGTATACATTTTCCTGTTTTGTTTTTTTTTTTTAACATGAGCATTCCTTACAATATACTTATATGGACAGGGCCAGTAGGTTAGCGAAGACCTAAAGGGAGGGAGAGGGGAGTGGAGGGGTGTAAAGGGGGCAGGGAGAGTGAGTGAGAGATATATGTGATGTTATCAACAATAAAAAATAAAAAGTTCTCTCCCCGAAAGCGGCCTGTGCTGTACCCCAATCTTACTAAGACGCTCGTTCCCCTTTATTTTAGAAATCGCCTCCATAGCAGGCTCACTCTGTGCCTGAGGACTGAGCTAGCAGAGCTGCCCACACACGCACAGGCGGGCAGGAGGGTCTCCTGCACAGACGGGAAGGTCAGAGGAAGGACCAGGGTCTTCTCAGGTGGGGACAGAGGGGAAGCCAGGGAGGAGAGCTGGGCAGAGGCGGAGAGCACGGACATGGGACCCAGGGGCTCCCGTGCAGACGGGAAGAGCCGAGCAGAGGCTGTCTTGTTGGCTGAGGTGAGACTGCAAAGTCCTGCCTGCCATCTGGACTTTATCCGGGGCAAAGGGAGGGAGGATCCGCATTATCTACAAAGACCCAGTCCCTGGCCAGTGATTGAGATGAAGAGAAATCAGGTTCTTTAGAGAGCGGCGTGAGGATTTTAAAAGGAAAGGAAAACCAAACCATGGGAAAGAACTACAGATGCTTGTGCCAAAAGGAAATATCAAAACCACGAACCGCCTTCCATATAGAGGCAGTATGGCAGCCTGGCGCCCCTGCCGACTCCACTTCCTCCCTGCTGGCCTCTCCGGATGGTCCTGGGTGGGAGAGTCTCCATTTCCTAGACCCTGCAAACCGCTGCCAGAGGTTCCAAGCTCAGCAAAGCCGCCAGCGAGGGGCCCTGGCCAGGCAGGGGTGCGGTTCTGGGGAGAGGCAGTGGCTCTGAGGGACTAGCCGGGTGGGGGTGTCTGGCCTGGCTCTCTGGCTCCCTCTAATATTCTCTAAGCATCCTAATGCCAGTTAACAAATCCCTTCTGTGAGAGTGGTTTGTTATCAGCAAAGAAACCCAACCAAAATATCACAGAGACACATGCCTTGGATGTGGCCCTGGATCTGACAAACTGAAGCCGAGGTTAGGAACGGCCGCGGGAAACGTGTCTCCAGACAAAGAGAAGCCCCATGCGGGCTATTCAGACTCGGCATGACCGCCGCTCCCAGCCTGCGCGGTGGCGTCCCCGGAGCCCGCCCCTCCCCAGCCTCCCCACCAGCCCCGCCACCCCAGCACGCCACATCTGCCTCTCAGCTGCCAGACCAGTGGTCCCCAACCAGGTGGCACGGTAGACAAGCCCAGGGTTTGGTGCCACAGCTGGGGGTGCGTGGCGGGCAAGCACCAGGTCAGAGGGGCAGGCTCAGGATGCTGTGAACAGCCTCCACAGCACCACCTCCCACGGCAGAGAGCTGGGCCCCAACCCCGAGGGTGCAAGAGCCGCTCCTCAAAGTGGCGCCCTAGCCGCCGCCGCCTCCTCCTCCTCCTCCTCCTCCTCCTCCTCCTCCTCCTCCTCCTCCTCTCGTGGAGGGTGACTCTTCCTGACACGCACACAGGACCTGATCCGCCAGCTTAGAATGCTCTCAGTCCCCCTGCCCTTACCATAGACCGCCTAGGAGTCTTCAGATGCCACTTCCACCGCTGGCGCCTCTCACTGCTCCACCGCCACCGCCACCGCCACCCCTCTGCTGCTCCTGCAACGTGCCACCCACAAGCCTCCCCACTGGCCAACTCTCATCTTCCAGAACATTCCCTCCAGGTTCCCTTCAGCCCTAAGTCTTGGTTGGGTGCCCTGCCTTGTGCCCTCCCCTCCCGCCGGGTAGCAGTGCTCCCTGCGCGGTTGCTGTCCACCCCGAACGCCCGTCCACCCATAAGCAGACAGGCAAGGGCAGGTGTGTGTCTTCATGGCAACATCGCCCAGCCCCCTGTGCGCCCAGCAAGCCTGTGCCCCGGGTGCCGAGCACCAGCATTCCCGGGCACAGGCCGGAGCACGTGTGCGAGGAAGCACACCAAGGTGGCACTCCAGACCTGCGGGAGAGATTCTCTGAGGAGCCACCACCGCCTGTGTGGTGGGCCGGAAAGCCAACGGCACCCCCAGAGACCAGGAAAGAAGGCACGTGCGGCCGGAGACAGAGCACCCAGAGGGACGAGGCCAGTTCAGTGCCGAGTTCTCCGACGGGTGTGGGCAGGGTCTGCACTCGGTGCCCTGAGGACTGAGTGAGGAGAGCAGGAAGCAGGAAGGAGGTGGCACAGAGACAACACATGCTGGGAGAGTGCTGGCTGATGAGCGCACCATACCGCTGGCCACTCGCCGCTGCGCTCCCCGCGCCAGGCTCTGTCACCACCGCACCGCACGGCAGGCACAGGCGGCAGGAACGGGAGTGGCAGTGGATCCTAAGCCGGAGGAGGGGCCGTGGCAGAAACACCTGCAAGCACCCCCGGAACCGGCTGAAGGAGGACGCGGGGAGACCCTGCTGGGATGAGGTGGCCTGGATGGCTTCCGGGAGGGGGGGTGCAGGTCAGGGCCAGTGCGACCGGCCTCCCGGTGGCAGCGCCCGGCCACTCGGTGCGGTGCGGTGCGGCGCGGTGCGGTGCAGTGCGGTGCGGGGGGGCCGGGGGAGCTGGAGAGAAAACGGGGATGAAGGCCGGGAGCTCACGCAGGGGAGTGGGAAGCCTGAAGGTTCGAAGCCCACGGAGTCGGAATGGGTCTGGAATGAAGCCTGCGGCCAGGCCGGGGCTGGGATGGCAGAGTGGAGAGATGGGGGACTGTGAGGCCATTTTAGTGGCCAGTGAGCAGCAGGAGGACAGGGAAGAGGAAGCAGGTGGGAAGATGCTGACGATTTCCAGCAGACTCCGGGGACCCACGGGCTGGAGAAGGTGACCGTTTCTCATTTGGAAGAACGAAGGATGCTGCAGTGAGTGAGAGCCGGAACGCCGGGAACGTGGCTTTTGTAACAACAAACCGTGGACGGTTTGGCCACGATGGGTGTGATGTGCCGGCCACCAGCGAGCCCCTGAGGCGGTGCGGGGCGCAGGAGACCTGGGACAGCTCCTCACACGGACAAGGCAGTGCGGGCACCCGCCGCAGAGGAAAGGGGGCTGGAACAGGAAGGAGAAGCAGCAGCCGTAACAGCCACGCAGAAGGGGCTCCTCAGAAAGACGTGGCCAGAAAGCCACCAAGAGTCACAAAGGACAGACAGGTCACAGACACCAGGCGAGGCTGGGAGGACAAACGTGATAAACAGAGTCACAGTGGACAGGACGGCGCCTGCCGTGTCCCGGAACCGGAGGCCCCGATGGCCTGGTGGGAGGAGGGACCTTGGATGAGGCCCCGGCTACAGAGTGGGGGGGAGGCGGAGCCACGGGGCTGAGAGGCAGGGTGAGAGTCCCTGAGCGAGGAAACAGCTGCGGGGAGAGGAGAGGGTGGGCAATGCTGAGTGTGCCCCTGGTGTGAGCCTGGCCACACGGCCTGCTGCTGACCGTGGACTAGCCTCAGTGTACCGGACACTCTGCTCTCTTAACTGCGAACGAGCTGATCTTGGCTCTGCGGGGGCATTAGAGAGGATAACGCACAGGACGTTTCTGATTCTCAGTGGGCACCAAAAAGAGTAACTTATGTAATTATCCTGATGCCTAAGCCTGAGGGAAACGAACAACCGGACAGAGAAAAACACACTCCACCCCTGTCAGCCGCACTCCGCCCCCGCCACCCACACTCTGCCCCTGCCACCTGCACCTGCTACCCGCACCCTGTCCCTGCCACCCACACCCCATCCCCGCCACCCGCACTCCGCTCCCACCACCCGCTAACCCTGTGCCCTGCATGCCTGAGCCAGGCCTCTGAGCCCGAGGCTCAGTGTTGAACACAAGCACAGCCCCTCCTACCGAACGCTCCACATGAATTGCTCAGCATCCTCTCCGCAGCTGAGAGAGCTGTCTGACACAAACATTCCCAAGCAATGTAGGCCCATCAGCCTGAAACAGGCTAGTGCTCACCTCGCTCCTGACTGGAACCTGCTCTCACAGCAGCCCCTGATAAAGGGGGCTCATGTGTTAACTGGCACCAGAGCTGTGGGAGTCCCATCTGTTACTCCTTTCCCCCACTTTTGCCCCTAAAGCCAAGATTCCCTGCTGGGTCTCATATTCCGAAGCAACCGATATTGTTCAATAATCATCTCAAGGCCACGTTTCCCGTGTTGTTAACACGAGCAATCTTCATGTGCAGATCCAATGACACTTTCCCAAAATCAAAACTGATTTTAGAATATATTGCCAAACCCACTTTAGCCTATGGATACAGATAGTTTTTTATTGAGTGTTTCCAATAACACCACAGCACTGATCAAAAGTAAGAGCAAGTCTGAAATTAACACTCAGGAAGCTTCTGTTTCCATGTGAACTTAGAAGCCACACCCGCTGTATTCCACGCAGCAGCCACGCTGAGGACGCAGGCTCCTTCTGAGCCTTTCCCCGGTGGCAGGTGACCCTAAGTCCCAAGCACTGCTCTCACGGCGGCCCCAGACTCCCCGGCCGCTCTCTGAGCCGGAGGGGACCGCGCACCCCGGGCGGGCAGGCCGTGCCTTTACCTGGTGGAGCCCCTGCGTGCGAGGGGTCCCCGTAGTGGCCGTAGAGCGGAGGGGAGAGGCCCATCGCAGACTGCGACTGGGAGTAGGGGGGCGTCGCCACGTAGCCTTGCTGACTCATTGTGAAAAGACGGTCCAGGAGGCAGCTCCACACCGAACCTGCAACAGAGGGAAACTGTCACCGAGCGGCCCAGCGCCCGCCCGGTGCATGACAGGGAAACAGTTAGCGTTCTCTGGTTGGCAGGGAGGGGCAGGCACCGGGCACAGCAGACAGCCTGGACACCATCTAACCACTGCTCCTCAGAGCTCAGAGCTCACCTCTGAAGTCCCGGGCAAACGCCCAGGCATGAACCCCAGCAGCTGCCCACCGCCTTCTCACCGGAAGGCCAAATGTTTCACCCACAGCCTGGTGAGTGCACCTGCTAGTTCTGCGCCTTGGTTCCGGGGCCAGGTCAGCACAGAGCACACCGCGGGCCAGAACCGGTGCCAGTCAGCTGACCGACCAGCACGACTGCCCGCACTCTGAAACCAGATGTCCTATCGCTTGTGCTTTTAGTGCCATCCTCATTAGTAACTGCAACCAGGCAGCCAGGACAGGGAGCAATCAATAGTCCAACGAACACAGCGTGAGATAAAGAAGTCGATCGTGGACTTATGAGTCATACTCGGACCAAGCCAGGTGGCAGCCCACAACCACCTGAGAGTGTCAGTGGTTTCTTGGTGAAGATGACAGACTCTCTGGTTTGATGTCACACCTCTAGGAACATATGCACATGCATTTCAGGAACTGAGGAAAAAGTGCAATTTCCTGTGAGTTTAGGCGGGCACCACACACACACACACACACACACAAGCAGGGTCGCAAACACACAATATCCCTCTTGATTCTACTCGGAAACCAACATCAAGTTGTTGAATTTTTCCACTTTTCCAGGTTTCACAAAATAAGAGGCATCTGATAGAATGGAGTGTTCTTAACAGTTTTTACAGACGGAGGAAGCTCTGGGTGATGGTGACAGGTGGCTCCTCGGGCGGCCAGCGCGGGCTGTGTCCGGAGCAAGCCGAGGACCCTCTCTGGCTGCTCCTCCCCTCCCCACGGTGAGGCCAGGGCGCTCTTCCTCCTGCCGGCCTACCAGGATGCCTGCCTTCTAAAGGAAAGGGGAGGGTGCCCCTCCCGATCTCCACTGGATTCTGGAGCTGGCATCTTCCTTCAGCTTCCTTCTCACCTCAAACTGTAAGTTTCCAGAATTAAACCAGCGCGTAGAAACATCCTAAAACCCGCTCCTCCCGCGGCGGCGGCGGGGAGGGGGGAGGAGAAGGGAGAGGGAGGCCGGGGCGGAGGCCTGCCCATCCCTGTCCCCCTGCCCCCCGCCCCGCGCCCAGCAGACGTGGCAGCGGCCGCGGGCTCCCCCGCGCCCGTCGCCGAGCGGCCCGGAGGCGTCGCCTGTTCGCGCACCGGCCGCCACGTCAAACTTCCTCAGGAGCCCAGTCAGCTCCGGAACGGCTCCCGGGACCCGAGGCCCCGGGCAGGGCGGCCGGCATCCCCCCGACAGCGCGGCCCCGGGGCCCGGGCCGGCCCGGAGCCCGCAGCCGCAGCCCGCGGTGCACCCTCCGCGCTCGGAGCCCACAGGCCGGCGGTGCCCGGTGTGTGTGGGGGGCGGGGGCCGCAGACCGCACCAGAGCGGCCGGGCTGGAGGGCGGGCGGGAGGCGCTCCCGCCGCAGCCGGTCCCGAACCCGCGGCCGCGCCGGGACCGGAGGGAGGGTCCCCGCCAGGCCGCCCGCCCCCGCGCCCGCTGCGCCCGCTGCGCCCGCCCGGCTTGGAGGGGCGACCCCGGCCCCGCGCTACCTGCCGCCGCCCCGCGCTGCCGCCGCTCCGCTCCGCTCGGTCCGCGCTCCCGGGCTCCTGGGCTCGCGGCGCGGACTTCAGCCCGGCCCGCAACTGCCACGTCAAAACTCCGGCCGCGTCCCGCCGCCGCGCCCCCGCCCCCGCCGCGCACGCGCAGCCGCCGAGGGGGCGGGGCCGGGCCGGGCGGGGGCGGGGCGAGAGCGGGGCCGGGCCCGGAGTGGGCGTGGCCTGGTCTGGGGCGTGGTCAGGCGGGGCGGGGCGGGGCGGGGCTGGCACTCAGCCGGTCCTGGCTCCGGCCAGGGTCCTCCCTCTTTCCTTGTCGCCTCTCCTGTCCGGTTTGTGCGCTCCAGTCCGGCCAGAGCTTTCCTCCGGTGCTCAGCCAGCGCGGCGTGTCCTTCGCGAGCCTGCCGGGAGGGAGGGCGGCTGGGGCTCATTCACTCTCACTCCAGGCTGCGGGCTCATTCATTCATTTGTTCATTCACTCTTCCCCTTTCCGGAGTCTGTGACGTGGCCGGCTGCAGGCCCTGCCGGAGGCACCGACTCCGCCCTCCGGAGACAGCTTACGGGGCTGGTCTGCCTGCGCGGTGCCAGGCAGCCTGCAGCGGGGCCGGGAGGAAAGGGTGTCCCGCTGGAAAGTAAGCGGAGCTGGCTTCCCTGGAGCTGGACCTGCGGGGCTTCTGTGGGCCCTTCAAGGGGTGTCCACGTGCTCCAGGTCGCTGCGGTGGGAGGCCTGACCCCACCCCATAACAGGGACTGGCACGTAAGGTTTGAGGCACAGGAGCGACACTGAGCCCAGGCGATTAAAAGAGGGAGGTTTTAATCTGCGCTCCCTCCAGGGCGAAGCTCGCTGGGCCGAGGCTGGGTGGGCCAGGGAAGATCTCGCCAAAAGGCGGCCCAGGTACTTCTTTCATACAGCTGTTTCTGAGGGGAGGGCGAGGGCATGAGAGGGGTGGAATTCCCGCCTCGGCCAGGGGTCTAGGAAGGCGCCAGCTATCTTTGTCACCATCTACCTTGCAGATGCTTGCATGGGCTCTGGGCTTCCCCCCTGCCTTCACCTAACAGCACGTGATTAGCTCACTGTATTCTGTGAGACAGCTGAGAAAGAAAGGCCACCTGTGTGCGACCCCTAACCCCCTAGATCCGCCTGTGCGCGCGCGCTCTCTCTCTCTCTCTCTCTCTCTCTCTCTCTCTCTCTCTCTCTCTCTCTCATACACACACATACACACACACACGCACACACACATATATACACGCACACACACATATACACACACGCACACACACATACACGCACGCACACACACACACGCACACACACACACATACACACACACACACACACACACACACACCACTCCTACAAAGAAAAGGCCTTCAGCCGGCTCTAGCTTTGCTATAGCTACCACTCTGATCAAACTTACAAAAGTAAAACCAGAGCAGTATTTTGTTTTCAAAATATCCTTTTTTTTTAATATATATTTTTATTGATTTTGTACAGAGAGGAAGGGAGATAGTTAGAAACATCAATGAGAGAGAGTCATCGATCAGCTGCCTCTTGCACACCCCCTACTGGGGATATGCCCGCAACCAAGGTACATGCCCTTGACTGGAATCGAACCCGGGACCCTTCAGTCCCCAAGCCGACGCTCTATCCATTGAGCCAAACCGGTCTCGGCTCAAAATATACTTTCTTCTGGGCTACCAGAAAACACAAGCTACTTGACATGTCCCCTTGCGGGTGAAACGCCTCGGGAAATGCTACGCGGGACGATGCTCATGCTGGAATACTGCTGATGCTGAAATGTGCAGGCCTTTCAGGCGCCGGAGTGGTGAAGACTACGGATTCCTGCTCCCCCCTCCCCCGCTCCTTTGCCAGGAGTCCAAGGTGTGTGCCCTGCCTACATCACGTCCAGTACTGGTCAGTTCGAAAATCCCCAAGGAAAGTTCTGTTTGAAGTGTTTCTTATATGCTCAGTAGGGGGAAGACGTTTCGTGGCGTTCGGAAGCTCTGGCCTGTGCTGAAGCTGTGCCGCCGGTCAGAGCAATAACGCGGGCGGCCACCTCCCAGCCATGTCGCAGTGCAGGAGAGCAGCCACTTGGAAATAGGAACATCGTGTGAGGACTGGCTGGCCTGCTGTCCCGATAAAACCACTACATTTGAATTTGTAAATTCATCCTCACCCCTTGCTCAGGGTCACCAGGACAATTTCAGAGGGCAGTTTTGAATTCCTAAATGTTTGAAGCTCCAAGGGATTTTAGAGATGTGGATATTCAATTCAATATTCAATTTATAGAAAATTTCACCCCAAAGCTGCAGAATATACATTCCTCTGAAGTACACCTGGGCCATTCTCAAAGATAAACCACATGTTAGGACACAAAACAAGTCTATAAGTTCAAGAAGACTGAAATCATATCCAGCATCTTCGCAGATCACAGTGGAATGAAATTAGAAATCAACTACAATAAAAACACCCAAAAGCATTCCAACACATGGAGGCTAAGTAGCATGTTACTGAATGATGAATGGGTTACCAATGAGATCAAGAAAGAAATAAAAACAAAAACAAAAAACAAAAAAACACTTCCTGGAAATATACAGTGAGGGCTGAGTTCAACCCAGTCATTGTGTAGATCAATGCATTGAGGCTCAGAACATGAGTGACTAGTCTCTGTGTTACTTGGAAGGTATACCTTCCGATTCTAATTCTAAATGTCTTTTCACCTATTACATTGTTTTGCCTTTGATAGAGCTCTGACTTGCTATTTCCTATGAACCGGCTGTGCCTTTTTCTCCTGTGACTGCCTTAGCATCAAGATTTCAAACAACGAAAATAAAGGACCCCACAGTTCACGGTGATGGGAGGGATGAGTGGCGGGGAGGGTCATATGGTTAGGATCAGCTCTGTGGGCCTGAGGGGCACCATGCACATCTCCCTTCAAGGTCCCCTGCTCCACGGAGGGTACTGGCCCGAGAGCCTTCAGCCGCTTGCCTTTGTCCTCGCCACAGCCTTGACCCTGAGGGCACACTCTCAGGAGCTCAATGCCAATGACTAAGCCTGACGGTAGGACTGTCGGTGGCGGTTTCCGCCGGCCCTGGGACGCCCAGTGGGAAATGGGCCCAGGTAGGACCTTCTCAGAGCTGCACTCAATGGAGGTGCATCCAGGCACACTGCCCCTCTGTCCCAGGTGTGGGCTCCACAGGGCGCCTGAGGCCTGTCTCCTGCTCCTCTTCCCTCGCTCTCTATTCTACACAGGCATGCCCTCACTTACTCTTTTTTAAAAAAATATATTTTATTGATTTTTTACAGAAAGGAAGAGAGAAGGATAGAGAGCTAGAAACATTGATGAGAGAGAATCATCGATCAGCTGCTTCCTGCACACCTCCTACTGGGGATGTGCCCGCAACCCAGGTACATGCCCCTGGCCAGAATCAAACCTGGGACCTTTCAGTCTGCAGGCTGAAGCTCTATCCACTGAGCCAAACCAGTTTCGGCCTCACTTACTCTTGTATGTCCAACTCCACAGAGCTCTCTCTTCTCCACAGGTGCGGCTCACTCTTGTATGCCTAATCCCATATTGCCAACAACTTTCCAGGGACCTGCCTGACAGCCTCAGGGGAGGTTGAAACAAAGCCTGGAAGGAGCAATTGAGTCAGCCCCATAAGCCCCAGGCAGCAAGGGGAGCCCCCCAAACCCAGACATCAGAAAGGAGGGCTTCTGGAACATTCCAGGAGCAGAAGGCAGCCAAAGGCAATGAGGGAAAACTGAAGAGAAGAGCCAAGGGGAGAGCCAAGGAGGGGCAGTGGGCTTTGGGTCCAGGCAGCCATTGTACAGAGTCTGGTTTTCCCTCTGAGCAGAAAAGAAGTCATCTCGGGTTTTGAATTGAAAAATAACATACTCTGAGTTACTTTCAATGTTTTTTATTTACATGGGAGACAGCATCCTATATAATAAAGATGTAATATGCAAATTGACCCCCACACATCACAAGATGGCTGCCTCCATGTCATCACAAAATTGCTGCCACAAGATGGCTGCCCCCACATTGTCATAGATGGCCAGCAGGGGAGGTCATTTAGGGGCAACCAGGCCTGCAGGGGAGGGCAGTTGGGGGTGACTGGGCCAGCAGGGGAACAGTGAGGTGTCAATCAGGCCAGCAGGGGAGCGGTTAGGGGGTGATCAGGCTGGCAGGTAGAGTGGTTTGGGCAATCAGGCAGCCAGGCATGCAAATGGTTAGGAGCCAGCAGTCCCGGATTGTGAGAGGATGTCTGACTGCAAGTTTCAGTCCTAGACAGGCAGTCGGACATCCCCCAAGGGGTGCCAGGTTGGAGAGGGTGCAGGCTGGGCTGAGGGACACCCCCACCCCCCAGTGCATGAATTTCATGCACCAGGCCTCTAGTTTCTTCATAAAGAGTGTGTTCAGAAACAGCTTGGGAGGACCTGGAGAGCATCACGCTAAGTGAAATAAGCCAGTCAGAAGAAGACAAGTAGCAAATGACCTCACTCATATGTGGAATCTAAGTAAAAAAATAAACTGAGAAGGGAGTGGATCCAGAGACATGGAGGCATGGAACAGAGTGCAGAACCTCAGAGGGAAGGCTGGGGAGAGTGGGTGGGTGGAAGGTAATCAACAAAAGAACATGTATGCACATATGCATATCCCATGGACACAGACAACAGGCTGGTGAAGACCGGGCTGGAGGGGGTCCATGAAGGAAAGAAGGGGACATAGGACATACCTTCAACAATAAAGAGTTTTTAAAAAGAATGCAGTGTTCGGAAAACATTTATTTTTCAAAGTCTCTGTGTCTATGAGATTTTAGAATCAGAAATCCACCCTTCAGTCATCTGGTTGCACATTACCCTGTTTCCCCGAAAATAAGACAGTGTCTTATATTAATTTTTGCTCTCAAAGATGTGCTAGGTCTTATTTTCAGGGGATGTCTTATTTTTCCATGAAGAAGAATACAGTACACATTTATTGTTAAATGAAAATAAAGGAAATTTATTACCTGTATACGGTACGGTAGTACGGTAGTTGTCAACACAAACCAGACAAACTGTGAATCCTACAGTATCAAGAATTTACTCATTTATTCAATGACAATCATGTCATCATCTTCTGGAACATCATCAT